TCTTTCTATGCTTCCCGCATCACTCAGTATTTAACCAATAAAAGCAAAAAAACCAAACTCATTATACAGGGTTATGAGAGCAGATTAGTCTCATCTTTCTCCTTGCAGGGCAGTTGGTAGCTTGAATTGCCAGCCTTGTAGTAAGCAGTCTAACATTTACCTGGCAATGCCACCAGAGCTCTTTTCGGAAGGATTAATATAGTTGGAAACACCACCTTCAGAAGTGTATAGACATAGAGGGGAGGGTATGTTGAACAGCAATAGCTTCACATTTTGATATTAAGATTATTGAAAGTACCATAGACTGCTAAAAGGACCAACCTGATCTGTCTTGGAAGAAGTATGACCAGAGTGCTCTTTAGAGGCAAGGATGGCAAGACTTGTCTTGCATACTTTACACATGTTGTCAGGTGAGATCAGTTTCTGGAGAAGTACATTATATTTGGTAAAGTAGAGGGGCAGTGAAGAGAGAAGACCCTTAAGGAGATGGAGTGACATCGTGGCTGCAACATGGGCTCAAGCTTACAAATTGTGAGGATGGTATGGAACTGGGTGGTGTTGCATTCTGTTGTATATCGGGTTTCAGTGGGTGGGAACCAATTCAATAGCACCTAACAACAACAAGGTTTTTATATTTTAAAGCAGTACTTTTAATAACTCGTATCTGCCTCAAGGGTTCCTTGTAATCTATCGGTATATATTCTTGTATATAAATCCTTATGTGTTATTCCCATTTCCCTAGACTCTGTTCTTGCTGTTAGATTCTTAGGTCATAGCTTTTATGTTGTTTTACTACTATCATGGGGGTGTGAGAGTTAAACATTGACATTTTTTTAAGTTCCCAGAATCCCTGTCTGACTCTAGAAGGATTCTTATTTAAGAAATACAACTTCTTTTAAAACACTTTGATGACCAGCTCTTTTAAGCCATACCTATCCCATGCAGCTGGCTCCCATAAAGACCTATATTGCTTTCAGGCTTACAAACTATAAACTACTGTAACGCAAATAGGCATTAATTCATGACCACTCAGCAACTGTGGGGCACGGTAACAGGAGTAAACTGGTGACTGCCAGCAACCTCTATTGCCCACAGCAGAAATCTCAGTGCATCGTCATAAATAAAACTGATAGACGTCTTCCAGGCAGCTTTTACAGCAAATCATCCAAAATCTATCAAACTGTGTCCTTCATATTATAATGAATACACACTACTTATTTCTACCTATGGGTCATTGCTCATTTCCTCTTTTTATTCTTTTCATGCTGAGTGTCATTTCTAATTTTTCCTTGTTATATCCCACCAGTGTTTCAGTTACCAGCTGGGTTGTGCAAATCCATTAGTTTGTTGTTTTCTTTGAACTCTCCTGTATACTGAGTATTTTATACTTAGTATCTTAAATACAGGCCAGCATATAATTAAGGGTAAAAGGCTTTGTCTTCCATTGACTTTAGTAGCAAATGATTATTATTCAATAGATTTTTTTTTAAGTGCTTATAAATTACATAGTTCAGATTCCTTGGACGGATTATTTGTTTTACACAATTTTCTAAAACTAAATAAACTGCAAATATTGATTTCAGGTGTGTAGTTGAAGCTTGGACTTTGTTGCGCCATCATTCTGATAGATTCAACGTAGAAGAGTTACTAAAGCACACGTATGAAGTTTGTCAGGAAATGTGCTTAATGGAGGATTTACTGAAGTTACCATTTACAGACATGGAGCAGGTAACGACATAACAATGGAAACATGTCAGGAATTCAAGAAAAAATCAGTTGCTTACAAATCTCTCTTGTTCTTCCCAGGAGTGTTTAGTGAGATTTTTACAGTCCAGTGCCAGTGTTCAGAATCATGAATTCCTTCTAGTTCACCATTTGCAGCGTGCCAATTATATTCCTGCCTTGAAGCTGAACCAAACTCTGAAGATTAATCTTATGGTACGGTTTAAGTTGATTTTTACGGGAGGAAAACTGGAGGAGGTTTTTTCCCCTTCTTCATTGTAATAGTTATGTGGGATCTTGCAGTCTGGTAATGCCCTCATACAGTCTTGAATTTGGGAATGTGGGACCCTTCTCACCTTCTGTAGCGGAATTAGGAACAGCATTATTTACATGCTTCTTTTATATATGCTGTATCATCATGTGCCTGTCTATAGTCTTGTCAGACTAATGGCCTCAGTTAGGTAAAATAAGAAGAGGTAGAAGATAACAGTAGGACTTATATAATATAAAGAACATGGGGTTTAGCAGTCAGATTGATTCCTAATGTGATTTGTGTACTTGAAACCATTCATTCCACCTCTGAACTGAGTTTCTGCATTTGTAAATAATGAGGTTGTGAGGCTAAAAAAATAAAAATGAGGTTGTGAGGCTACAGAAAGTTTTGTGTAAAAGTGCCTTGTTGCCTGACACCTGTATATTCTTAATAAATAGTAACTATTTTATTAGTTATGAAGAATCAGGAAAGACTTTATTGATAGGTAAGGATCAATAAAGCAATGAATTTTGTGTGTGAGGTCCTTGATTTGGAAGAATGGATATGTAGATAGGAAGAAAGCATTGCATATTTATAATTAGCATTAAAATATTGAATATATGGCTCTAGAATATAATATTGTTAAGATTACATTTTTACCAATTATGATCTATTCAACAGAGTGATCGTGATCCCCGCTTACGTGAGAGATCAATGGCTCGAAATTCCATATTAGAGCAATATGGAAAAATACTTCCTAGAGTCCAGAGAAAATTAGCCACCGAAAGAGCTAAGCCGTACCGTCTGACAGCATCATCGGTTTTGCGAGGTAAGATTTCATTGAGGAATATCATAAATTATTGGACTAGAAAAGATGCCGAATACCGTTCTGACACCAGCCTGATCTTGTATTTAGCTCACTTTTGCAGCATTCTCAGATTCATCAGAGTAATGGTTTTAGTTGCTATCCTTGCTAAGAAGTGCAGGGCTTTCTCAGGAGTGTTTTGTAGTTTATCGAGTACTGTGTTTTAGCTGCCGCCAAGTTGCCTCCTAGCTTAATAATGTGACTATTAAGAAGAAACAGTTATTTATCCTGTGCCATTATCATTATTGGTTGGGAAATTAGACTTTTTATTGAATAGTTTTTAGAAGTAATCACAAGGTCTTTCTTCCCAGTTTATTCATGTGCATTTTAGTTAAAGAATCTTGTCCAACTTAGAGAACAGGTAGAATTAATTTATCCCCACTTCTTAAAAGCTGAAATTATTAAATTTCTACTTAAACCAAACATAATTCTAAATATGTTTATCTTATGGTCTTTATTTGAAAATAATTCTTGTTTTGATGGTTAGAATGAAATTAGATACTACTGCATTCTTCTTATCTTACAGTTTCCAAACCCAAGCCTTTATCAGCAGTTCCAAAGCAAGCTGTAACAGGGACTGTGTTAACAAGATCTGCTTTCATCAATAATGTGTTATCTAAAATTGGAGAAGTCTGGGCAAGCAGTGAACCTAAAAACATCATGTCTCCTTACTGTAGGTATGTTTTTCTTCATGCTAATTTTTAATCTTTCCTGTACATCAGCAACATTTATAACAAGCCAATTAATGGGGCTACTTTTCTTACAAGAATGGTTTTTATCTTTACATTTAAGTGACATATGTATATTGTTAATGCAAAAATGTGTGTAGTATTTAATTCCACCTTAAAAAAAAAACAACACTTCCATCGAGTTGATTCCCACACATAGCAACCTTTAGGACAGAGTAGAACTGCCCTTGTGAGTTAGACTGTAACTCTGTGGGCGTAGGAAACCCCCCACTCCATCCCTGTCTTTCTCCCGTGGAGCTCCTGGTGGTTTTGAACTACTGACCTTACAGTTAGCAGCCCACCTCGTAACCACAGTGCCACTAGGACTCCTCAATTTCACCTTCAAGCATTTTCATTGTTTCCTTTGAGTGAAATTCTCACTTTCTTTGTAGTCCTGATGTAGAAGAACCATCTCCTATAGTTTATTCTCTACCAGACCCGGAGCTGCCTGAGGCATTTGTTGGGACACCAGTTTCAAAAACATCGCAAAATATTTCTAGGTAAGAATTTTCTCAATCATCCTCAAATTATTACATGATAATTACAACTACAGTGTTTAACTTTTGGAATAATTTTCCCACCCAACTCCCCCATTGATATTACTAGACTATTTTTTAGGTGTGGAGGGAAATTGCAGAGGGGTCCCATAACACTTCCAGCAGAACCTACTAGAATATCTTAATGGCTTATGATACAGATTATTCTTTTATATCTTATGATATTAGGAAAGTAAGTAGTTAAGTTCAACCTATACATTTTAGATCAAATTATGAGTTAGGTATTTATTTTAAGAACCTTAAATATTTTTTTATAGTCATCAATAGCAGAGGCCAAACAAGTGTTTCTTCATGTATTGGTCTATCATCCTTAGTAATCTACCTGTGATTTTTGCAAATTTTGATAAACTTTTATCGATTATAAGAATAAATTTATCTGAATTTTTGGTGCTAAGGATAAGATAATCAGGGTTAGTTACCAGTTTAAAAACAATTAAGGCCAGAGTCATTTAAAGTGTATATAATTGGCTTATTTTCAAAGTTTGAAGGGACTTTTTCCTTTTATACTCTAGTTATGCTCAGAATTTCCATTTAATTATGATAAAGAACTTTTTAATGGAAGTCATTACTGATAGTCTTTTTTCCCCCTATCAGTCACATTTTCTTGGTCCTTTTTTACTTAAGTAGATAAGGGGATTGGGTAGGGTGGACTGGACAGAGGGAACATTGTATTAAAAATTTTAGGACTTTTACTAAGAGCTTGATAAAATGTTATGTAGCCATTGATAATCCTTTGAAGTCAGTGGAAGAGAGTAAGCAGAAATGATTTATCTTTCATAAAAATTATTCCCTGGTTTTGTATTTTTCAAACTCATTTTCATCGTTGAGTTGTATGTTTATAAAAACTACACATTTCTGATTAGCCAATTTTTAATGAAATATATTAGTATAAATAATCAGTGGAGATCACATGTAGTAAAAGGCAGGTACTATTTTATATACTTTTTGTTCAGTTTATATGTGTGATCCAAAATCTATTCCTTATTTGGGTCATAATTTAAAAAGCGTTTCAGTTGTAGAAATCCTAGGACTTAATGCAATATTTACAATCCTTTAGAAAGCTCCTTACTAAAATATTTCATATTGTTAATTTTGCTTTTACTAAGAATGAGCCATTTGTTGTACAGGCTCTGCTTTTGGGAACTAGTCATTCATAAATAGGTACCTCAGGCATAATACTTACACAATAGAAAGCATTTAACTAACTCTCTTGTTTGATTCCTTATTGAATAGCTCGTATTTAAAAGTGAGCAATCAGTTTACATAATACATAAATGTGTATTTGTATTTTATTAAGATGTATTATATTTTAAATTACTTAGCAATTTATCTTCATTTGAAAATAAATTGCCGGCAGATAATTAGTTCTCGGTAGATATCAGCAAAGAGGGGAGAGGGCAATAGGATTATTATTGTGTGTGTGCGTGCGCACGCTTGGACACATGCTCTACTCCATCAATCATTTTCTGACTTTTTAAGCAAATGGGGGTAGGTGCGGTTTGGGTCACATTAATGTGTATGACTGGATTTTTATTTTCATAATGCTGTCATCTCTAGTAAAGATAGAATTTCTTGGTTTTATAAAATGGAATATGGGTTTGTTTTAATTTCTTTAGAAGAGCTCAAGAAATAAGTATTGAGGATTTTTCTATTCATATGTATACTCTAATTACAGACTGCTGGATTTGGTTCGTCCTGTCCCTCAGCCTTCTCAGTCTTTGGATGTTACTCAGCAAACCCCTCCCACAAGATCTCGTTTGTATGTAGCATCCAATTCTTCGCCATTAAGCCAGTCAAAAGGGTCAGATGAAAACATCTGTAGGGCTTCAGAATTACATTTACTTGAAACTCCACTTATAGTTAAGGTGAGTATCACATATCTAGCGTATGGAGCTAGGAATTATTTTTCAGGATTAGATCATATGTTTTTCATAACTAATATCGGATAATTGATATCTTTAAACGGCTTTTTTTTTAATTTATTTCTAAAATGTTTAGTTTAATTTGTTTCTAAAGATGTTTTTACATCTTTAACTTAGCTTAATTAGTGTTATAACTAGATGGTCACTGTTGTTTTGAATGTATGTAAGACTCACTTAGTTATTATAAATTGATCTTTGTCCTTTGCAAAGTTTCTTGATTTGCTTGGTTTCATTTTTTCTGATACCAGCACATAGTTATTTCTTCCATCTTGCAAGTCCTTTTATGCTCTTTGGTTTATTCTCTGACTTTATTGATGAAACTTTTAAAATTTTATTTCTTCCTGCCCTCAGAATATCTGTTTTTAAATGGCTGCTGCTAAGCTTGCGATAACTGGGAACAATCATCTTAAATTTTCTCAGTTTTAAAGTGTCTTTATAGATGTTAATTATTAGCTTCTTGTTCAGTGGTTAGGTGTGGAACCCAGAAGCTGTCTTCTCTTCAATTGTTTTTGTGCTCTTTTTCTAGTTGGCCAACATTTATAGTGAAGCCAGGGAAGTGTTTTTCAAATTGAATAAAAGGCATTTCAATAAATGCACATCCTAAAATATTTATTAACGTTAGAATTGTCAGATTCCCAACACTTAATTTTTATCTTACCAATTGGCACTTTATTTTTGAAGTTGAACTTTACAGTAGAAATAACCAAAGCCTTTAGAATAATTATCGGTTATGTTTTGTAGTCTCGCTTAAAGGTGCCCTAGTGGTGTGAATCATTACTCACTCACCTGTTGGCCACAAGGTTTGAACCCATCAATGGCTCTGTGGGAGAAAAGACCTGTAGATGCTTCCATAAAGGTTATGCAGTTTAGGAAACTTTTTGACGCTGTTATCTCTCATATATATATGGTGGCATAGCGGTTTACACATAGGTTAACAGTTCAAATCCACCAGCCACCCCTCAAAAGAGAATCTGTGATCTCCTAAAGATGTATAGCCTTGGAAACCCATACGCAGTTCTACTCTGTTCTGTGTGGTTTTTATGTGACCAAACTGACTTGACTTGATGTCTCACACCAGCCTTACTTATATAAAATTGAATATAATTTTTAATTTTCTTTTCAGTCATGTAATATTTTCTGTGTGCGTGATTTATGTACTTTAGGGTTAAATGTGTTCGTTTGAGATAGGAAAATAGGCACGTTGATGATGTAGCCTGCTCTTATGTAAGTGACATTTATAACGACTAATGGTAGAATTTTATTCGCTTTGTCATAGAAAGCTAAAACATTGGCCATGTCAGTGACTTCCGCTGGATTTGCAGAGTTCACTCCTCAGTCCATCCTGAGATCTGGTCTTCGAATAACACCTTTAGCATCTCCCTCTTTGTCACCTGGAAGATCTCTTACCCCTCCTTTACGACTTAAAGAAACTAGAATCTCATTTATGGAAGAAGGCATAACCACAAAATGGGCTGCTGGAGTAAGTTTAATAAGATGAAAATAAGCATTTAATAAGAATATTAAATGTTGCCATCATCATTCTCAAAACATTTACTTTCTACTTGAGCCATTGATATCAGCTCCTCATTTTCCCCCTCCCTTCCCACTTGCCCCTCTCTCATGAACCCTTAATAATTTATAAATTATTATTTTATCATAACTTACAATGTCCTATGTTTCCCTTCACCCGCCTTTCTGTCCATCCTCCAGGGACGAGGTTATATGTAGGTCCTTGTAATCGGTTCCCCCTTTC